TTGATGTAAAGGTTTTGGCTCTGGCAGACACCCAGATCAAACATTGTTTGCCCACTCTTCTCTATTGAAATAGTTTATCTCTAAAACGTACACGAATTGCTGATTGTGCAACAAAAATGTCCGTGAACTGTGCACTAAGTAATGACTTGAGCTCAGCTAAGTAACTGGTCTCAGCACAGGCACAGGTGTCAGGCACAGGAGCCCTGTGCAAATTGTCAGAGAAATCAGAACTTTGTCTACATATGGTCGTTATACAATCGTAGCCTCGAAGAAAGATAAATAATCCTCATAATAATCCTTGCATTTGATATAGGGCCTTATCGCATGTCAAACCGCTTCACAGAAAGCACAATCGAAGAGGAAGGTCTTCAGAGGGGATTTCAAGGAGGCAAGAAAGGGGGTGAGGCAGAGGAATTGCGGGATAGAGTTCCAGAGTGTGGGGGAAGAAATGCTGAATGACTGACTGCCAATGGTGGGGCGGAAAGTGCAGGGGACCTGAAACAGGCTGGTGTCCGCCGAGCGGAGGGAGCAGCCAGGCTGATATGGGGTTATAAGGTTGGAGAGGTAGGGTAGGAGCAAGACCGTGGAGGGCCTTGAAGGTGAGAGCAAGAGTTTTTTACTCAATTCTCTGAGAAATGGGGAGCCAGTGAAGCCGGGCAGGAACGGGGGTAATAGGTTCCTGGAGCCTGGTGTGGGAGCGGGCACGAGCTGCAAAGTTTGAATAATCTGCAGCTCAAGGAGGGAAGAGTTGGGAAGTCCAGCGAGCAGGCAGTTGGCGTAGTCAAGCTGGGACGTAATGAAAGCATGGATGAGGGTCTCGGTGGCTTGCGGTGAGAGGCAGTGGCGGAGGTGGGGAATGTTGCTGAGTTGTGGAAAGCTGGAACGGGTCACCACACCAATGTGAGGTTTGAAAGATAGCTGAGGGTCGAAAAGGACATTGAGGTTTTGGATTGGCTCAGTGAGGTGAAGACTGCAGCTATGAATGATGAATAGTGTCGGCGGCTGCGGTGAGAGCCAGGCAGGAGGGCCTCGGTCTTGCCAACATTGAACTCAGGAAGTTGGCTCTCACCCAGGACGTGATGTCAGACACAGCAGCCCAATAACACACAGCAATGTCCCACCAAAAGCTATGGAGTGCGTGACCAATTTTTTCTGGGAGATTGTTTCATCAGCTATCAATTTTATCAGCTATGATCACCCCCATCCTGAAAAAAACCTTCCCTGGACCAATCCCTGCTTTCTAACTACCGTCCCATCTCCAACCTCCCTTTTGTTTCCAAGGTCCTTGAAAGAGTCGTTGCTTCCCAGCTTCGCTCCTTCCACTCCTAACACTCCCTTCACGAGCCCCTCCAATCAGGTTTTTGTGCTGCTCACAGCACGGAAACTGCTCCGATCAAGGTGGCAAACAATATTTGTCCATCTGTGACCTGGGTTCCCTTTGCCTCCTCGTCCTTTCCCCTCCTCTTCAACCTCTACATGCTCCTTCTTGGTGATATCATCCACAGACATGGGGTCAACTTCCGCATGTACGCAGATGACATCCAACTCTATCTCTCTGCCTCTACCCTCGATTCCAGGACAACTGATGTCCTGACTGACTGTCTCTTAGCCATCAAGTCCTGGATGAGAGCCAACTTTCTACAGCTGAATGTCAGCAAGACTGACATCAAAATGCAATGATTATTATTATTATTATTAATAATAATAATGCTACGTGGTTGTGAGCCAGCAAAAAGGAGTCATATCTTATTTGTAATTTGCAAAATATAATACATTTGTTGCAAAATGCAGTCGCTATCACAAGATCACAAGAGAGGTTTGGCTTCTTTAAAGCCTGAAGCTTGTCTAATCATTGCTCATAGTTGATTCTTACACTGGAATGAGGGGCTCTATGGTCAGTGCTGTCACCCTTATGTGTCGAGATATGACCTGACCAGAGCTCTTTCCAGCTGGATATGAATGCACCTGTTGTAACTGAGGCGGCAGTGTACAAAAATGACTGATCTTCCCAGATCCTCCCTCCACAAACTGCAGCTCGTGTCCTCTCCCGCAATAGGTTCCGTGAGCCGACCACCCCCATCCTCGCCTGGCTTCACTAGCTTCCTATCTCCCAGGGGATCGAGTTCAAGATCCTCGTCCTCACCTTTAAAGCCCTTCACGGTCCTGCTCCTCCTTCCTCTGTGACTATTAAAACTGCACCAACCTCTCCCGCTCCTTCCGCTCAGCAGGCACTGGCTTGCTCCACTTCCCCCCGTCTTGCCCGCCCCACCATTCAGCCTTCAGCCTTTCTGGCCCACCCTTGGAACTCCATCCTGGAGTCCCTCCACCTCGACCCCTCCTTTGCCTCCTTCCAAGCCTATCTTAAGACCTTCCTTTTTGACCGTGCCTTTAATCACCTTCTCTCCTCCACCCCCCTTGCCTGACCAGGGGAGCTAACCTCTCCTCCCTCATCCGCATCCCCACCCTCCTGCTCTATCTCCTCAGACTTCTCCTCTCTCCACCTCTCCTTCCACATCCACTCTGATACCCATACCCACGGTCACCCACTCGACCTGGTGATCACTCGGGGCCTCAGCGTCTCGGATGTCACCATCAGTGACAAGGCCATCTCTAACCACCATTTCATCTCCCTCAACTCCCATATCCCTCTCCCCACTGCCTCTAAATCTACCACCATCTCCTACTGCCCATGGACGAAGATCTCCCCGCAATTCCTCTCTGCTGCCCTGGAGTCCTCTGAACTCCTCCCAAGCTGGCCCACCTCTCGCACCAACCCACTGCGCTTACTCTTCTCCACAGCACCCTCTCCACCACACTCGACGCCCTTGCTCCCCTCACCTCCCGAACTGCCTCCTATTCCCGATCCTCACCCTGGTTCACCAGCCACCTCCGCTCACTCAATGCCGTACACACTTGGCTCAAATCTGGCCTAACGGTCCACATCTGGCTGGATCGCATCAAGACCTACCGCTCCGCTCTCGACTCTGCCAAATCGTCCTTCTATTCCAGGTTAATCCTGGAGGCGAAGGGCAACCCCAGGCTCCTGTTCTCCACCACCAACCGGTTCCTCTGCCCTCCCCGCCACGCCTCGCAGATACTTTCTTCCGACTCTCACTGTGAGAAAATGCTGAACTTACTCAAATTCAAAATCAAGAGAATCTGCTCAGCTGCCACTGCCCTCCCAACTTCCATCCCCTCCCTACCCTCACCTCACACAATTGCCCATCCGACAATTACCCATCCCTCCCTCCACACCTTTGAACCTGTCACCCCCTCCTCTGTCTTCACCTCCATGAAGCCCACCACCTGCGCCCTGGACCCCACAGCCCACCCCTCTTCCTTAAATCCCAGCTCCATCTCCTTGCCCCACTACTCGCCGACATCATCAACCTCTCCCTGTCATATGGCATTGTTCCTTCCCCCCTCAAAACAGCCATTATCACCCCCACCTTGAAGAAACTTTCCCTCGGCCCATCACAGCTATCCAGCTACCGGCCCATCTCAAATCTCCCTTTCCTATCCAAGGTCCTTGAGAGAGCTGTCGCCTCCCAGCTTCACTCTTTCCTCTCCTCTCACTCCCTCCATGAGCCCCTCCAATCGGGTTTCCGCGCTGCCCACAGCACAGAAACTGCTCTGGTCAAGGTCACAAACGACATCCTGACCATGTGTGACCAGGGCTCCCTCTGCCTCCTCGTCCTCCTCAACCTCTCCGCTGCCTTTGACACCATAGACCACTCAATCCTCCTCCACCGCCTCTCCTCCCACCTCAACCTTCAAGGTTCTGTCCTTGACTGGTTCAGCTTCCTACCTTTCACACCGCCTCCGCGGCAAACAGTTTCTCCTCCAGCCCCCGTATTGTCTTGTGCGGTGTTCCTCAGGGCTCTGTCCTCGGTCCCCTCCTCTTCACCCTCTACATGCTCCCCCTTGGTGACGTCATCCGGAGACATGGGGTAAATTTCCACATGTATGTGGATGACATCCAACTCTACCTCTCTCCCTCCACCCTGAACTCCAGGACTATTGGCGTCCTGACCGACTGCCTGTCCAACATCAAGTCCTGGACGAGGGACAACTTTTTCCACCTCAACATCAGCAAGACCGAGGCGCTGGCAGCATCAGCCTCTACGGCTGCACACTGAACTGTCCTTTCTCCCCCACATCCACACCATGACCGGCACTGCCTACCACCACCTCCGCAACATGGCCAGACTCCACCACTGCCTCACCCCTCAGGCTGCCGAAACCCTCACCCACGCATTCGTCACGTCAAGGCTCGACTACGGGAACTCCCTCCTCATCAGCCTTCCCAACTCTTCCCTTCCCAAGCTGCAGATCATCCAAAACTCTGCAGCTCATGTACTCTCACGCACCAGGCTCCGTGACCCCATCACCTCGCCCGACTGTGCTACACGTGTATGTGGATCTCCTGTAGCATGGTGGTTAGAGCGCTCCTCACAAGCGAGAGGACACGGGTTTGATTCCCGGGCGGGGCGAAACCTTAGGGAAGTTTCCTTACTCCTCACACCTCTGTTTACCTAGGAGTAAGTAGGTACCCGGTTGTCAGTCGATTAGCGGATCTCTTTCCAGGGGCAATAAACCTTCAAAAAAAATCTAGTAATTCAATCCACGACTGTTTGTGAGACACCGCTGTGCGCAATTGGCTTCTACATTTTGCCCACAAAATATAGAGTCAATCTACTTTACAGTACATTCTGGGGAACGCTTTGATGCCATGATAAGGCGCTATATCAAATGTAAGGACTAATTAGTATAAAATCTCAGAAAATCTTTTCAGAATCCCCCAAAATTTGATGTCAAAAATCTTGTTTATACAACATCGGAACAATAACCCCTTCTAATACGTTACTTATTCTCCTGCTGTTTGCTGAGCAAATAGTCTGAATCAGCGGCTTTGGGGGCATTGGGTTAATGGAAATAGGAGACGGCTGACCTTTTATGAGATGAGGTATAAAAATGCCTCCATTTCTACAGAGAGCTTCACCTTGTCCCGGGGTAAACCAAAAACAGCAGAATGTTGCGCTTACCTTTCATCGTTGTCCTGGTTGCTGCAGCCGCTTTTGTCCCAGGCGCCCTGGTAAGTGGGTTCATTTCTTTATGCAATTAATAATCATAATAATCCTTGCGTTTGGTATCGCGCCGTATCACGTCAGATCACGTCGCAAAGCGCTTCACAGGATTTACCGTGAAATGGAGTGACTGTGTATGTTTAGGCAAAGGCGGCAGCACAGTCGTGCACAGCAATGGCTTGCAAACAGCCATGAAACAAGTGACCAACTTTTTATTTGGGGGATTGTTGGCCAGGACAACGGGAGAGAGGAACTCCCTTCTCTTTTCGAGTAGTTCAGTGGCGTATTTAGCGTTCACCTGAACAGGCAGACAGGGTCTCGGTTTAACGTCTCGTCCGATTCTCCTTTTCTGTTGGCATGAGCTTCTTTCTCTTTGTTCTTTCTTTCCACGTTAATGTCCATTGAGAAGCTGGTAGTAGTAATAATAATAGTTCTTGCATTTGATATTGCGCCTTATCACGGCATGAGCCATCTCAAATATTATGATTATTATTATTAATGTTATTATCTCAGCCGCTCATCATTTCACTGTTAAAATGAACAGAAGTCTAAACAGCTACTTGTAGAATAGGGGAAAATTGGATGGAGACCAACTCTGCCAAAATATTTTTCGGGGTAACTATCCCTTCAAAAAGACTAACTAAATAAGATAATAATTTGGTCACTCAATCCACGACTGTTTGTGGGAGACCACTGTGCACAATTGGCTGCCGTGTTTCAACTACTGTATATGCCTAATCACGTCATCGAGAGATCTCATAGCGCTTTACAGAGTATATTGTAAAGTGAATTGACCCTATATTTTGTGGGCAAAGCATGGCTTTCTAATTTTTAAAATTATTATTAAGCTTTGACAGCTTCGGGTAATAGTGCAGCTGTTTGCAAACTAACCTGTTTCACAAAAGCTATTGTCGTTTTTAGTTAAACTCTCTCTTCTTGGCATGTGTTTTCCACTTATGTATTCGCCTTTTTCAGTTAATATCTGTTTTTTATTTAGAGCCATGACCCACACGGTGGCATTGATAGCAAATGCCCGATTGTTATCAAGGTCCTGGACGCTGTCAGAGGCATACCAGCTTCCAATGTGACTGTCAAAATCCTTAAAGAGGATGAGAGCCATAGTTGGACTGTCCTCAGCACTGGGTGAGTTGGAAACTGGATAATGGTAACCCTACCAGTCTGTGCAAACTCCATTCGCAGACCAGAATAACAACAACTTGCATTTATATAGCGCCCTTCACGCAGGGCATGTGTCTTGGAGTGCTTAACAGTGGCAGAGCCTGGGGATGAACCGAGGGGGGGAAGGGAGGAGGTGACCGTAAACACGGTTCGAAGAGGAAGGTCTTCAGTTCCAAAGCTTCGGGGGTAGTGGCTAAAAGTGTGGCCACCGATGGTGGAGTGGAGGGGACGGGGGATAAGCAGGAGGCCGGAGTTCTTCGAGGGAGGGTAGTAGTGTCGGTAGAAAGCAGGTCAGAAAGATAGGGAAGTGCCAGGGCGCAAAGGGACTTGTAGATGAGTGAGAGGATCTTGAAATTGATCCATTCTGTGATGGACTGGTGGACAGTTACATTTGCAGAAGTTGTTGTACTGTGGAATCAGGTGAGGGAGCAAAAATCCAACCAAGAGAACTGAACAGTTAGAACCTGCTATCTCCATATGGATCTGTCCGCTCCCTCCGCTTAGCGGGCTCTGGCCTGCTGTGCGTCCCCCACCCAGCTCGCCCCACCATTGGTGGTTGAGCCTTCAGCCTCTCTGCCCCCACCCCCCCCTTTGGAACTCCATCCCGCAGTCCCTTTCGCCTCATCCCCTCCTTTGCCTCCTTGAAGGCCCACCTGAAGATTCTCCTCTTCGACCGCACCTTCGGTCATTCTCCTACCCCCACCATTCCTGCCCTCCACCCCTCCTGATCCCAGCCCCCAACTCGTGTCCAAATCCCTGACTGTCCAGCGCCTTGGGACATCCTCCCAACGTGAAAGGCGCTGTACAAATGTAATTTGTTGTTGTTATTGAAAAGGGAATTATTTCCAGGCGCATTTTTCTTTAGAAGACTTTCAAGTGAGGATGGATATCCTTCAGTCACAAGCATTTAAAAGAATTCTACGTCAAAACTAGCAGCAAAAAGCAAGTGGTAGTGGCTCAGCATTCTGGAGAGAGAAAGCAAGATGGCAACATGACTTGTCAAAATCCTTAAAGTTTTTTCTTAAATTCTGCTCACATCCTCGTTCCACATTGCCAGCAAAATTAGGGCTTTAGTATGCAATATATTTGGTTAATTTGCCGTCAGAGTATGAAAACTAAGGTTTTCCTTCTCCCTTCCCCCCGATATTATAATACAAATAAGAATATATAATTATCCTTGCATTTGATATAGAGCTTCATTACGCCATTGAGACACATCAAAGAGCTTCAGAGAATATACTGTAAAGCGAATTGACTGTATTCTGTGGGTGGCGGCCAATTGCGCACAGCAGTGTCCCACAAACGATCGCGCATTGAGTGACTAAATTATTATTATAATTTTTTTGGAAGGGATTCTAACTCCCAAAAAGAGTTCCACCAATCAACTAACCACCGGGTTCCTACTTACTGCTGGGTAAACAGCGACATGTGGAGTAAGGAAACTTGTCTAAGGTTTCTCCGCACCCGGGAATCAAACCCAAGTCCTCTCGCTTGTGAAACGAGTGCTCTAACCACTGCGCTAAAGGACAATACTTGTATATAAATGCTGCCACAGTAGACCTTTGCCCAGATAATAACTTGCATTTATCCGTTTTTTGAATTTTACCTAAACAAATCTCAAAATGTTACATTTAGTTTATGCAGTATGTTATATATTTTTAGTATGATTATCGAACCACTACTTTGTTACGTCTTTGCAGGATGACAGGACAAGCTGGAGAAGTCCACGACATTGTGACTGAGGCAACTTTCGTTGAGGGAGTGTATAAGGTCCACTTTGAAACTAGCACCTACTGGAGCAGCCTGGGACTCGCTCCCTTTTATGATTGTGCTGATGTAAGTTCAATTTTAGTGCCAAGTAGTCAATATTGAGCAGCAGAGTTCTGCAATTGCTGACCCAAAAGAAAATTCAGAGAATAGTAATCTTACTTATCTTTTGTCCCATTTCAGATGGTTTTCTCTACAATCCACCGTGGACACCACCACTACACACTTGCTCTCCTTCTGAGCCCGTACTCCTATTCCGCCACAGCAGTGGTCAAAGACTTTCAGCCTCATGTTCAGGGTCAAAATCATACTCACGATCACGATCACGATCACGATCACGCGTAAACACACTTCTGCAGTCGGCAAAATAGCTGCAGATGAGAAGACCATGTGGAGTTCAAACTAGAAGTGTAATAAGTGGTCAAGATTTTGTTGGTATGAACTGAAATTGCTAAAATAGTCGCTATTTACTGTGAATTTCAGCACATCTTTGGGCCTCATCAGAAACTGAGCAAAATAAAACTCTTTCTGTCACGAACTTGTAATGCCTTGTGGTATGTGTTGTCTGAATTTGCAATAGTAACAACAACTAACATTTATACAGCGCCCCTAATGCAGGGTTAGCGTCCCAGAGCGCTTGACAGTGGCGGAGCATGAAGCCGAGCGGACAATTAGAAGCCATCATCTCATCTGTGGAGTCCTGTAGCTCAGTGGTTAGAGCGCTCGCCTTGCAAGCGAGATACCTGGGTTCAATTCCAGGCAGAGGGCGAAACCTTGGACAAGTTTCCTTACTCCACACACCTGATAATAATCCCTCCAAAAAAAAAAAAAAAAATTGGTCATTTTCAATCCACGAGTTTGTGGGACACTGCTGTCCGCAATTGGCTGCCATGTTTCGCCCACAAATATAGTCAATTCACTTTACAGCATATTCTGTGAAGGGCTTTGAGACGTCTAGAAGACGTGAAAAGCGTTATGTCAAATCCAAGGATTATTATTATTATCTTCCCCCCTCCTCTCTTTGGCTTCCTTCTCAGCAAGCAGTGTTAACCTCTTTGAGCCGTTCTCCCATGAAAGGAGTTATGTAAATATAAATTGCATTGCATCAAGGAAAGTAGCATAAATTTGATGACCAGCACAGTTAGCTCATGTGTAATGTCCAAACAAGATTGACTGGGTGCAATATTTTGCAAAAACTAAACTAAAAACAGAACTTTGTCAAGCAACCTACAACAAATTACATTTGTCCAGCGCCTTTCACACCGGGAGGATGTCCCAAAGCGCTGGATAGTCAAGGTTGTGTGCCCAAGCTGGGGTTGGGATCAGGAGAGGTGGAGGGCAGGGAGGGTTAGGGTAGGAGAGTGTCCGAAGGCGAGCTCGACTCTTGAGACGGGCCTCGAAGGATGCAAGATAAGGGTCGAGGTGAAAGGACTGTGAGATGAAGTTCCAAAGGGTGGGGGCAGAGAGGCTGAAGTTCCGACTGCCGATGGTGGGGAGGGCAGAGCGGGGGCCATTGAGCACATTAGAGTCCGCTGAGCGGAGAGGCCGGTATGGAGTTAGCAGGTCACAGATGTAGGAAGGAGCAAACCCCTGGAGGGTTTTGAAGGCGAGGATGAGAATTTTGAACTCAATTCTCTGGGGGATGGGGAACAAGTAGAGCCGGGCGAGTTCTGAATAATCTGCAGCTTGTGGAGGGAAGACTTGGGAAGGCCGACAAGCAGGGAGTCAGAGTAATTAGCCTGGATGTGATGAGCGTCTCAGTAGCCTGACAGGAGAGGCTGTGGTTATTGAATAGCCTATTAAACAAAAAACAAAAATAAGATCCACAAAAGGTCACCACAACGTCCTCGAGTGCTGGTATTATTTAATTTCATAAAAGAATGATACAAAATATACAGTTGTCACAAACACAAATCCACAAGATGACAGGTCCTTTAGAATAATCCATTACAATTAACTGTGCATCGTATAGGTCAGCATGCCTTTAATTCTTCCTTGTCACATGCTAAAATAAGTTTTTTTTCCCCACAATCTGACTTTATATTTTTAAGTGGATGTCAAAAGGAAAATGTGTACAGTACCTTTGATAATAAGCATGTAGTTTTATCATTGGCAACGTAGCAAGTTCTACTGGAATTTGATCTAAGCTTCATTATTGCTACCTCTTATACATTTTTTCACTTAGGACTATAAAGGCAATTTCTTATTTCAGTATCGGATTCTATTTTGGGGTGGGGGGTGGGCGGTGCGGATGTATAGAAAATATGAAGTGCACAAACTGTTCAGTTAATACTGAAAAATATAAGGTCGAGACGCACAAAAATGGGTCTAATGTTTAGCAACCTTGTTAGTTAGTGTACAGGGTTACACTAAAATAATATTGCTGGTAAGGCAATTGAAAATTTAGTCAGAAATGTTAATAAAATAAGGATGTGTATCTGAAATTTCCTTTCAGCACTAAAGAAACGCCATCAGTACTTGTTGTCGCATTTTAAGGTACTCTCTTAAAAATTATCATTTCGGTCTAGTCATTAAAAAGTAAACTTACTTTTAAAATACAATATTATTTTAACTCAAAACAGAAACCAGACAACAATGCAGACCTTATAATACTAACACTTGCATTTGATAAACTGCTTTATCATAATGTTGAGAAATCTCAAAGTGCTTCACAGAATATGGCAGGGCAAAACCTTGGGCAAGTTTCCTTACTCCACATGCTCAAGAAAAAAAATAATAATTTGGTCACTCAATCCACAACTGTTTGTGGGACGCCGCTGTGCGCAATTGGCTGCCGCATTTCTCCCACAAATATACAGTCAATTCACTTTACAGCATATTCTGTGAAGCGCTTTGAGACGTCCAGAAGACGTGAAAAGCGCTATATCAAATGCAAGGATTATTATTATCGTTAAAGAGTGGATTGACTGTATATTTTGAACAGCACTGTCCCACAAACAGTCATGGACTGAGTGACCAAAATCTTTTTCAAGGGATTATTCCCCCGAAAAGCAGTCCGCCAAACGATTAACAACTGGATTCTTACTTACTGCTACGTATACAGAGGCGTGTGCTGCAAGGAAACTTGCCTAAGGTTGGGCCCCACCTGGGAATCGAACCCAGGTCCTCTTGCTTGCGAGTGAGCATGCTAACCACTACCCTAAGGGACTCACTTCTTCAGAAAAGCCAGGAGAAAAAGGACAGCAAACTACAATAGGATACACTACTGGATCCCCAAATCAAAACCTTTCAAATAGATTAGAACCTTGCAGGTGCTTAATAATTAATGATTGGCAGTACATGTTGAAGACTATTATACTATTATTTTGACTGATGTCAGGGCAGATTAATGTTATGAAGAGCTACTGTATTTATTTTGGTCTCCTCTTAAGATGGGCTCTCTTAAACCCATTATTTCCCCACCCTCACATCCTACAACCTTTTACATTTTCTCCAATATTCCTGCTACTTTCCAAAGATTTTTTAACAAGTCATCAGAAGTGAACCCCCCACCCTAACTACGGCAAATTTATTCCCTGCTTTTTAAGTATAGAATTTGCAAGCTAACACTAGTAAGAACCCTGCAGCAAAATCTCTGCCATTCTATTTAATAGCAGACGATAACATGCAAGATACGTTTATGGGATGATTGATCTCGGTGCTCTCCCTTCTCGCTGATACATATAGCTTCCACTCTGCTCTCTCACACCAAGAGATAAGGAACTTGCTGTGAGGAAGAAATGCAGATGTGGATCTATTAGCCACCATTCCTTTGGGTATAACATACTGCATTTCCCACACTTAGCAAAAGACTCATTAAACTCGTTTTTGAGCTGAACTGGCTCCAAGGTGACATGTTTGGCAACCTAATGTTGGAATCGAGTCAGGCCTCTGTGGCGGTCTCGGTAGTCTGGATCCTGAGCCAGGCGGGTCCATAGTATTCCAGGGCGCTGCTGATGACAGCACAGCCCAGTGCGGCTCATCAGCAGGACCAGAAAGGGCAGACCAGTCACTGTTGTGCCATTGAGGAAAAAAAAGAACAGCTAAGACTGGTCAGAAAAAGCTGCAGTATTAGTCTACGTAATCTCTGTTTGAACCAACTTCAGCTACTTCGAAACCCTCCTCAAGTGTCAACTTGAACCCCCCCCCCATAACCCTCAAAAATAATTTTTCCCTTTTCATGAGGATGAAGCAATCTGGGGAGCTGAAAGGCAGTAGAGAGATGGCTCAATGAAGGCTAATTTTCAGAAGGAGGGCAGAAAGCAGCAATCCCCAGGAAGCAATAGGAAGTAATTCCAGGCCAAATAGCAATTATTCTGCACTCCATAAAGCCACTGGTTGCCAGATACAATTAAAGGACAAAAATGGTGAATCTTCACTGGTTTAACACAAAGCATACACTTATTAATATACCTGTCAGACACTTCAGTTTCCTCTCTGAACCTAGCTTCTGACTTGAAAAACCACTGAAAATTTCCCTTTTGGTCTTGGTCATTATTCAGTCACAGTTCAAGTCAATAATCATCCAGAAAACATAACGGACATTACTATAATTCTGATCCTCTACAATAAGAAGCCCCCGGCCCACCCAGATAATCAAGTAAATTACTCCCATCTTCAATGGAATATATGCTTGTTTTTCAAAATACCTGTTGTTTTTTCCTTCCTCGTCTTCTTTGAAGCATCTACTTCTCAAGAAGTCTGGTAGTTCTACCCAACCTAACATGGCTCGATTTATTACACTACTGTTTTTGTGGTTCATTAAGGTGCATTCATGAATACAATAAAATAATCCTAGCATTTGATAAGCACCTATAACTTTCGAGATGCTTTGCAGGTAACTGACAGCAACTGATCTCAATTACCTGTGAAGCACAATTGTATTTGCACACAGCAAAGTGCTGCGAACAGCCAAGAAAAGTAAACCAATTGATCTGAAGGATTGTTGGCAAGTGCAGGGACACTCCCTTTTATATTTAGTCTAACATCCACCGAAGAACACAACCTTCTCTTTTTGAAAAGAGCAATAGTATATTTAATAACCAGCTGAACAGACAGATAGGGCCTCAGTTTAACACTTCATCCCGAGGTCAGCACCTTCAATAAAAGAGCACTTCTCCAGCACTGCAATGGTGGGTTAGCCTAGACTACCAGCTCATGGCCCAATGTGAAGTTTGAATCCGCAATCTGCTGACCCAAAGGTGAGAGTACGACCAAATGAGGAAAAATGACACCTGACTACAATACAAACCTACATCAGAAAAATGCAAAGCCACCTTAGTTATTGACAATTGTGACAAGGTACATTCCAAAAGACAAACAAACACAATCTACAGTAACGAAAAGAAGCAATACCAGTTTCGCCCACAACTAAACAGCTGCATTATTCCACCAACAAAATGAATCAAAATGTTCCCTGGGCTCCTGAATAAAATAACTTCTAATGCTTACCATATTTTGAAATGATAAATAATAATCATCAATTGGTCTAGCCCTTTTCACATCGGAAGAATGTCCCAAAACGCCTCCAGGATTTTACTGGGAAGCGTAGTGACTGTGTACTTGTAGGGGAACGCAGCAGCCCAATTGCGCACAGCAACATCCCACAAACACCCATTAAACAAATGTTCAATTTTATTTGGGGGATTGTTGACCAGGACACTGGGAAAAAACCCTTCTCTTTTAAACAGTGTCATGAGATTTATAACATCCACCTAAACAGTCAGACCGGATCTCGGTTTTAACTTCTCACCCAAAGTTCAGCGTCTCCGACAATGCAACACCCTCCGAGCACCGCATCGGAGTATCAGCTTAGACCATGCGAATTCAAGTCCGATGTGGGAGCCTGAACCCAAAACCTTTGGACTCAAGGAGTGAGAGTGCTACCAACTGAACCAGGCTAACACTGTGCTCACACAGACTAAAAAGATAATGAATAACAAAATAAATTTGTCCTGTCCCCCACACCGTCAACTCTCCCAGTACTAATGAGGTTAAGAACCATTAGGGCCTTTTTCTATTCCACTAAACAAAGGAAAAAAGGCTCTTAGCGAGAGTCACAGACCCCAACATTGTCAAAAGAATGCAACATTAAATTAAGGGAAGTTTTTCTTTTGCAAAGAATCATTCTGACATCAGTAGTACTGGCACATTTTCAGCTTCACCCCACCCCCAAACTGAATTTTTTTTTGAGTGCATCCACTTATTCACAGCATGCTTTTATCATTATTGGCAAGTGCACTTAAGATTTTAAAATCCTTTTCTAGTTGACATGATTAAAGAAAACAGGATCTCACTTTCAAGATATTAATTCAATGACAAGTTTTTTTTATATATATCCAGTGGCGCGTTTATAAATGCTGAACCTTTAAGCGTCCAGGGAATTGAAGAGAGAGAGAGGAAATGAGAGAAGCAGCACAGATGAAAATGTGGAGGTGGTCAGCTGATCCTATGATGGAGAAAACAGATTTGGTTGTGTATTGTGGAAGTCAGTGCATTGAAATCATAGAAGGTGAAAATTTGATTCAGCTTTCAGCGTAGCCTCACGCTTTAACAGTCAGTGAAAAACATCCTCCCATCTAGGCTAAATGCTAATCATCCCCACTTATACACAAATGTATCAAGATGGCACCATGCCACACGTCAGAAGGTAATCCGAGGCTAGACTCATTTGTTTTCATACAGGGGGAAAAAAAAATACCTTCCCAGTCAAACCTGGAAGGTCGATGTACTTGCTGTTTATGCCCTATCTTAACATAGTACGATTTTAGCTGCCAGAAACCAAACAACATATTGGAATTCTCTACAACCTTTAGCATGGAAAGAATAATGCATCTTAAAGGTAATATTTACACCTTTGTTCTTTCATGCTAAGTTACATACATATACATTATATATAATATATATAGATAGATATCATTTCCTTATTAAATGTAACATCACCCAAATGCATCGATTCAATGATATAAAACAGGAGTGGCAAAGTGCACAATTTTACATTTATATATTTACAAATCCACAGCATTATTCCAAACACACCGGAAGCCTTCATTTTAGCTAAAAATACAATGTCGTATGCAGCAACGAGAGATGGGAACTCTATTGGCTTTAACAGTTTGGGTCAGATGCAATTGGAGTAGACACCTTTGTACAGAGGCAGCTGAATATGACAAAAAAGTGACTACAATAGTGCAAGGACTTTAGATAGAGAGCGGTCCTGCTGTAAACTTCTTGATTTCAGAATGGTGGCATTTTTGTCCCTTCAAAATGCAAGATGAATTCATTAGCAAAGCCAGTGCACATGCATGCAGACACAGTCAGCTATTCAAACTTCGGGAGCCAAGCAGTCATTAAATAATTTACGGCTGAGCTGGTTGGCTGTTCCTCAAGACTCTTGAGCCCTTCACCGAACTGCCACAGATTAAAAACGCTCGGAAATCCATCATCGGATTCCAGGAAGCTGTTAAAAAGCAAGATGCCAGATCTCCTTTAAACTTCATCTACAGGAGCCAACTCTGGTGTAAGGTTCACAGTTATATTTTTGTACAATAAGTTAACGGTTATGTTTGGAGTGTACTTCAAGTTGTTCAACCCATCCAGGGGTTGGCGTTCCTTCGAGTACCTTAACAATTTGTATCTGAAGATTGAAGCAAAATGTGAAAATTAATCAATTCTGTTGAAATATAGAACAATGAAGCACCCGCTCAGTCTAGTTTAGACTCTAGTCTGACTAAGACCGTATACATCACTCAGAAAAATACATAATAATAATCCTTGCATTTGAGATAACATCTTATCACGTCGGTATATAAATATAGACATCAAAATGCCCAAGTACACTAAATTTACAAATGATTTATATTGAGGATATGAAGACTGCAATTAAGATTCTAAGCCCATCATGTAAATATATCCAGTTTAAGAGGAAAGGTTATTTCCAATTTTTCTTCCTGAAAACCGCTAAGTTAAATTGCCAATGTGTACCTTTGATTCGTATCGAGTGTGTGCAGATTTGTGACTCAGACCAAATCAATAGCCATTAGAAACTAAATTGAGATTAGCTACGTTTATTAGAATATGTTTCTGTGAAAAGTGGCAACTATATTTGCAATTGAATATTCAGCCAAGTTGTGCACAATGGTCCACAAACAGTCAATCTTCCAATTTATTTGGGGAATTGTTTGCCAGGACCCTGCGAGAAACACCATTCTCGTTTTAAATCACGTCATGGGATTTTTGACATCCACCTGAACAGGCAGACGGGACCTTGGTTTAACGCCTCATCCAAAGGATGGCACCCCCGAAATGCAGTGGTCCCTCCCCGATAATGAAATGTCAGCACCGACAATGTGCACATTCTCAATACTCTGCTGAAAGTCAATAAGGCACATGCACTAATAATTACTATAATAAGTACATGTGTTAAAAATGGATTAAGTGGAATACGAACCTGCCTAGAAACTGTACCTCTCCTCGGTGATGATGAGGAATAGATTTGTATTTCCCCAGGTCACCCTCGGGCCTGCTCACATTGTAACCTGCATAAAGAACTCTACCGATGGGGGGGGGTGGGGGGGGAAGAGAGACAGGAAGTGAAAAAGAAATCTTAGCTAGTCACTGCTCAAAGGAACAAGCCATAGGTTTAGGTACTTGGTTTGATTCAGAAAAGTAACCATTGTTGATTCGCTTAATTACAGAGAGATCACACAGTAGAGAATACAAGACGCAACAACAAACTGATGGATTGTTGTTTGCGGGTGGGGGGGATGGGGGAACTTGCACAACACATCCAAACAGCAATGCTTCATTAACATAACGGATTACAGCATCTTAGACTTTTTTTTCCTACGATATGTTTTATGCCCAGTATTAGTTTATACTTCCAGCAAATATAGCAATTATAGTGGGATGCCAGATAATAATACTAACCCCTGCATTTGACACAGCGCCTGATCACGCGTTGAGAGGGTTTCACAGGATATACTGTACAGTGAATTAACTGTGTATTTTATGGGCTAAACACAGCAGGTAGTTGCACACAGGAATATCCCACAACATAGCTGGGACATGGCTGTGCCCAATTGGCTACCGCGTTTTGCCCACAATTTATTATTATTAATTTTTGTGATGCATTTTTTGCTCCGACATAACAATGGCCAAGTGTGGAGGATGCAAAGTCTAGACATGTGCAGAGTTCACTTCATTACTGGTTAGTTTTTTTTATTATTAATGTTGTTAAAGTTACTTGCAAACTACTTGGCAAAAGAAATATCATTGCCATGGTGCAGTCAGAAGTGCTTACGGAAAATTGTTGGGTAGGAGCTTTAGTCTGTATCCAGCTGAGCTACAGTTACCCTGGGAGTGCTTGATGGTAACATGAATGCCCAAATGGAAAAACATTGCATAGCATTCTGTTTAATGAGCACAAAATTACACTCCCAACGCCCATAATCAGTTTAGCAATATTGACTTTCAGCTGGCTCCCCAACCATAAAATCTCCTCCGGTCAGCGATCTTTAATAATCTTTGTATATTCACAAAATATACCGTAAAATTAATTTCCTACATTTTGTGGGCGAAATGCAGCAGGCACTTGCGCACAGCAGTGTCCCACAAACAGTCATGGATTGAGTGACCAAATTATTATTATTTCATTTATTTTTTTTGGAGGGATTATTACCCCAGAAAGAGTGATCCGCCAATCGACTAACAACTGGATTCCTGCTAGGTAAACACCGAGGCGGGTGGAATAAGCAAATTTGCCTGAGGTTTCGCTCCGCTTGGCAATTGAACCCGGGTCCTCCCGCTTGCGGAGCGAGTGCTCTAACCACTACGATTGATCTTGAAATTGAGTAAATTGATAGGATTCTTACCTGCGCCACAGGTCATCATCTTCTCCACCCCAACCCCAGAAAGCATTGGGAAAGCCATTGATTTTTTTAAACTGCTCTACTGTTAGACCACTGACCCCACCAAAGAACTCATTGTAGGGTAGGCTAGAAAATACGGAGGAAAAAAAAACATACAGAGGTCACCTTCAGTGGGGGCCGCTCAATACAAAATGATAAAAACAAAAAGAATCCAAAAGAAATGGAAATACAAAACTCACCCATTTAGCTTGTCAGTGCATTAAAAAAGACATTTAATACGTTAACCAGAACATAAAACAGACAGGGTAAAAAGTACAGCTAAAGAAACAGAGATTAAATAAAAAGAAACAAAGAGGTAGCATTTCAGGTTACAAACAAATCAAATGTGAAGAGAATAAATATTGAATTTAAAAGACAAACATGCTTTACAAAATGGCACAATAATGAACTACTGATGCAAAATAAAATCAGGCACAAAGTTACTACTGGACTAATTTCATCTCCATTTACACCTGTATGACAACTCCTGTATATCATGATAATTTGGAGCATTAAGTGGATTTATGGCTCATTGACAGTGACATTTTAAATGCTAACCCGACTAGATACTAATTCCTTCCATACAGCAGGTTTACAAGGTTAATTTTCTGAGAAACTATATTGAGTCTTCTTCAGCATTTTATGCTGTAAAACTGAATCATCACAATCAAGGTGGAGTCTGGGCAAATTATTCTGATCTCTGCTTACAAGACCTCAGGAACATTGAGACCAGTGTCGTATAAGTCAGTCCATTGAAAGTTCTTCAACTCTCTTGGGCATTAAACTACCCAGGACATTTCAGCACAGTTGGTCAAATGACTGCATTTGAGTTCAGTACATACGCTAAACGAATCAGGTGTTAGTGCAGTGTATGTATTAATACATGTCAATCGGGTATAAACCCTCGGGTTGTCTAAAAGGTCCAAATTAAATATTGAGTGGGAAGCACAATTTAGCTTCCTACGTTGTACAAATGGGATATTGCTTTATCCCAATAACGTAAAGGTCACTTCTTAAAATCATATATTTTGTAAATTTATACTAAAAAGGTACGTGAAAAAGTATAAACTTCAAGTGAATCCCTCCTCGGACATTTAATTTCAAATCATGTATTTAACTCCACAGTAATGTGTTTTCCAGTTCTACAGCACTGAAATCAGGATGCACTTTTTCACCCAAAGGGCAGTGGAAATCTGGAACGCTGTCCCCCAAAAGGCTGGGATGCTGGATTCATTCAAATTTTCAAGATTGGGTTGGATAGATTTTTCTTAAGTCAGGGTGTCAAGGGCTATGGAGCAAAGGCAGGTAAATGTAGTTGAGGTACAGATCAGCCATGATCTAATAAAATGGCAGAACAGGGTTGAGGGGCTGAATGGCCTACTCCTGGAGTAGATCATTCAGTCCCTCAAGCCTGCTGGGTTGATATTACAGATTCTATACTATGGAGACTATCTACAAACTGAAGGTGTAATTGGTGGTTGTAGCTTCAACACCAATATCCTTCCCATCAGAGACCAAATCTAACCAGGGACTAAAGTAGGTAAATGAGACTGCTTTCTTACTTACATGTACATATACTTATCCAGCTTTGACGCAAAATGTCGTGGCATTTGCCCACATCCGTAATAATTGCGATCGCTCTCGGGAATATGATCCACGTCATGGAAGACTAGACAGTCCCAATCCAAATCCTTCATCGCCTCCATGAAGCCAACGTTGAAAAGCATGGCTCGATTAAAGGGATAGCTGCCATCCTAAAAAAAGGGGGGGCAATTTAGAGCGAACACGCACGGATTGAAGAAGAACACTTCACTTACGCTGCCACCAGGTGGTGTGTAAGAGCAAGCCTACAGGATGTTCTAACCTTCCCAATGACGGTGTAGAGCGAGTCTGGTTCCAGCGCAGTGTCTGGGGTTCAGAACGTTACGCTGCACCCTGTCTGAAGGGTGCCATCTACATCAACCCAAGTTGTTTTAAGCAAAGTCACGCGACAGTGGAGTGCACATATCTTCGTGTCATTCAGTCCTTCCTGACTGTCATTCAGTTATTCCTCAACCGTCAAATGATGGAAATCCTAGGTCGGAACCCAAATTCTGCGAGCTTCAGTTATTATTTGAGCCGAGTGGAGAATGGGAGAGCGCAAGTCATTGTTAAGATGGGAGTTTTGATCCTTTTACGATCTCTCTTAGTCCTTCTGTCAGAAAAGTCGCTGCAGTTATTTTTTTTTTAAAAATGTACCTGCTCAATCACGTAGAACCCAAACTGCACACGCTGTCGCTGAAGCATGGGAATCATGTGTCGAAACAGAATCGGTAGATGTTCATGACGGTTGCGGAATGGAATAAGGATTGCCACCTGTAAAATTAACTCTCTTAGCACATTTTTCCTGTTTGAATCTATATTATATATATATATTCTATATATATATACACATTATCCTTTCTATGATATATATCTATACTAATAAAATGACAATGTCTGTCTGCGCTTCAAGAAGGATCTCAATAACTGATTAACGTAGAGACATGATTTATACCTCATTGGAAAGGTCTTGCAACTGGGAGTGACATGGGCATATTTGTTTTCGGGTATCTCCTATCGTTCATGAGTTATTTTCAGTTTTGCCTTTATCACTGCAGTTACACCTGGTCACCGCTGTGTCAAAGTGGTGCTGTGGCATTGTGCGTCACAGAGCACCTACGTATAAATGCACACACTGCAGTTACACCTGGTGGCTACGCTTTGATTTTTCTCAGGGAAGTGCCACCACTTTGCCTTTCTTTAGTTCACTTCAAATAGATGTGGATTTGTTCCAATTTGTGCTCTTTATGCCGCTATACAACTTCATGCAATTTAGACTGGTATAAAATGTCTACTTGATAAATCCTAATTTTCTGCTGAAGACTACAAATGGGCCATAATTATACTGTATTCAAAAAACACACATTTCTATGTATTGAAAGTGATTTAACAAACAGACATATTTACAATCCAAGAAACACAAAAATATTTTGCCCACAAAATAGTCAATTCAGATTACAGTATATTTTTTGAAGGGCTTTGAGAGTCTCAAAGACGTGATAAGGCGCTATGTCAAATGCAAGGATTAATAATACTATTTAACACATGAGCACCAACACATGATGCCAGGGAATGGAGGAATGAAGATCGATTCTGTACCTTTCTTTGAGTTTGCAAATGATGAAATGTAGTAAGATCGATCACTTTCTTATACATGGTCTTTTCCTTAAAGCTGCATAATTCTGATTTATAGTATTAATTTGGTATAAAGTGTCAGCCTGGCTCAGTTGGTAGAACTCTCTCCTCTGAGTCAGAAGATTGTGGGCTCAAGGCAGATGTCGGGACTTTGAATTCACACTAACACTGCAATGCAGTGTTGGGGGCGGGAGCGCTGCACATTGTCGGAGATACTATCTTTCAGATGAGACATCAAACCGGAGTCCTATCTATCTATCTGCTCAGTGGACATAAAAAATCTCATGGCACTATTCGAAAAGAGATGGGAGTTTCTCCACATGTGAAAAATGCTATATAAATGTAAATTTGCATTGCAATGTGTCCTAGCTAACAACCCTCCAGATAAAATTAGTCACTCACTTCATTGCTATTTGTGGGACACGGCGGTGTGCAAAATTGTCTGTTGTGTTTATAATAATCCTTGCATTTAATATGGCACCTTATCACATCGTCAACCTGTCTCAAAGCGCTTCACAGAATATACTGTAAAGTGAATTGACTGTATATTTTATGGGAGAAACTTGGCCGCCAATTGCACACAGTAGAGTCCCTCAAATGGTTGTGGATTGAGTGGTCAATTTTTTTTTAAACAATAACAACATTACATTTGTATAGCATCTTTCACGTCGGGAGGATTCTTACCCCCGGAAAGCAATCTGCCAAACGACTAACAACAGGGTTCCTACTTACTGCTAGGTAAACAGAAATGTGTGGACTATGGAAATTTTCTTAACATTTTGCCCTGCCAGGGAATCGATCCTGGGTCCTCTCGCTTGTGAGGCGAGTGCTCTAATAACTACGCTACAGGACTTCACCAAATACGCAGTTAATACACTTCACTGTAAAATCCTGTGAAGTGCTTTGAGATGTCTTAATGATGTGAGAGGCACTGTATCAAATACAAGGATCATTGTCTTTTTCGTTGACTTGTCACCTTCCAACGTGCTTTGCAGTCCTTTGGCTTCCAGTGCCCACCATACTCAATGTCTGAATCCTGGGACAACATCCTTTGGATTTCTTCCATGCTGATTTCACTCATGTTCACGTCAACTAGCCCCTCTGAGTTAAAGGGGAAAGAAGGATAGAAGTATGTATGTGTGGGTGGGGGGGCGGGGGGGGGGAAGAGGAGAAATGCATGCATTTAAAATCACTCTTCATCTAAAACATGTACAGTAGAATATAAGCGGACAAATGTGGTTACACAGAATTGCAACCAAAATGCTGAAAGCTTCCAGTATAAAAATCATTTAGAATATTATTAATCCTACAATTGCTATCCTTGCATTTGACAAAGTACCTAATCATCTCATTAAGGCAATTCAAAGCACTTCACAAATTATACTATAAAGTGAATTGACTATATTTTGGAGGGACTAGACAATGTAGACCATGATAAGCTGTTTTATCTTGTAATGAACAGTGGAACCAGGAGACCGCCTGTGATTGAAGGGGGTAAATTCAGAACACATCTGCAGAAAACACGACTTCAATGAGCGATCAGTAAACAAATGGAACAGGCTCCCTAGGGAGACAGTGGAAGCAGAAAGTGTTCATTGTTTCAAGAACAAATTAGATTGATTTCTGCTGGAAAATAATATCTCGGGACACCATATATAGTTTGGGACACGGCATGTCAAGCAACTGCAAGGATGGTGGAAAGCGAACTGTATGGCCCTTGGTCTTCTTTCGCCAACAAATGCTTATGTTCTTACTTAGTGGCAAAACATGGTAGTCAACTGCACACAGAAGTGTCCCAAAAACAGTTGTGGATTGAGTGACCACATTTTTTTTGTTTTGGTTTTGTTTGCTTTGCCAACTAAATACATGGTAACTCTACGATATATTTCTACTTTATAATTTCTTGCCAAGTGGAGTCCTGTTATGGTTAAGACTGCTCGCCACACAAACGAGAGGACCTGGGTTTGATTCCCAGGCAGGGCAAAATGTTGGGCAAGTTTCCTTACTTCACACACCACTGTTCACCTAGCAATAAATAGAAACCCAGTTGTTAGTCGACTGACGGATCACTTTTCCGGGGGTAATAATCCCTTAAAAAAATAAAAATAATTTGGTCACTCAACCCACGACTGTTTGTGGAACATTGCTGTGTGCAATTGGCTGCCATGTTTCGCCCACAAAATATAGTCAATTCACGTTTAGGTATATTCTGTGAAGCGCTTTGAGCGCTTTGTGGAGTCCTGTAGCTCAGTGGTTAGAGCACTCGCTTTGCAAGTGAGAGACCTGAGTTCAATTCCAGGCAGAGGGCGAAACCTCGGGCAAGTTTCCTTACTCCACACAGAGCCTAATAATAATCCCTCCAAAAAACCCAAAACAATAATAAATTGGTCATTTTCAATCTACGACTGTTTGTGGGACATTGCTGTGCGCAATTGGCTGCCGCGTTCGCCCACAAATATATAGTCAATTCACTTTACAGTGTGTTCTGTGAAGCGCTTTGGGACGTCCTCCCGACGTGAAAAGCGCTATATCAAATGCAAGGATTATTATTATTATTATGTCTCAAAGACGTGATAAGGCTATATCAAATGCAAGGATTATTATTATTATTATGTCTCAAAGACGTGATAAGGCTATATCAAATGCAAGGTTTATTATTATTATATTCTGTGAAAAGCTTTGATACACATCAACAATGTAATAAGGTGCTATATCAAATGCAAGGATTATTATTGTTATTCTAAACCAATACATTAAAATTAAAAAGCTTGTGTATTTTTAAGGGGGAGATGTGAGGAAAGAGGAAAAAAAACAATATTACATTTCTCCAACTCTACCTTCAAGATTAGATTATGCTGAGTTTCCATTTAAAAAAAATACTATGAAAGATTAATTGAAATAGCTTACTCATATAAGGCAGTTTTTCTGGGCAAGGCAAGCCAGGAGAAATTGTGAAATCTTCTGGAAGATACGTCGCACTTTGACCAAGGTATTCACTTGAATTATAGCCTTCAAGGTAATCTAGGGAATAAAGTCAAATTGACGTTAAACAAGGAATTAGAGCGCCCAGCAAAAATTAAAAAGTCGTCACCCATTGAGGTGGGGAAATATCCTTCCTGTGATTCAGCGCCTTGGCTCCATCAATATCAGAAAGTTCATCAGTCTCCCCTCGTAATGAGTTAGCTTCTCTCCAAACAGAAGCAAGTCTTTAGCCACTTGACTTTCCCAGAGATTACCACAAAACACAACTGATTGCTTCTTTCTTCTACATGTTTAACTGCATCACAATGGCACTCATTCAGGCCTTGATGTCAGACAAGCAGGCAGTCAGAGTACGGGTAGGTCTGGGTTTGCCTGTGAGGCTGGTATACACAACCCACAAGCTGAGGATAAAGACAAAGATGATGAGCCACAAGGACCCGAGAAGCTCTAACATGAGCAGACAGACTGATACTGAACCAAAGGGCAGATGATCATTCGTTGCCGGTAGAAAGAGCCACAAAAGACTGAATTATATACTTATTGTTCAATTGAAAACTGATAGCCTGTTAGCATCAGAGACAGTCAGCGAGTTAGCAAATGGTGGAGAAGTAAAAGGGTTTCCACCAAACAATACAAAATTACAAAATACAAAATTGTATAGCATCTTTCATGTCGGGAGGATATCCCAAGACACTGGGCAGTCAGGGTTTTGGACCCGAGCTGGGGGAGGCTTGGGCTCAAGGAGGGGAGAGGGCAGGGAGGGGGGCAGAAGGTGTGGTCAAAGAGGAGGATCTTGGGGCATGCCTTGAAGGAGGCAAGGGAGCCTTGAGGGAGGCAAGGGAGAGTGAAAGGAAGTGGGATGGAGAATGTGGGATGGAAACCTGTAAATATTGATAGTTAAGAACTTGTTATGGCTGTCAAGCACTCTGAGACACTACCCTGTGTGAGGAGAGCTAAATGCAAGTTGTTGTTGCGGGGGTACAATGGGGTTAAAAAACGCTCCAACAGAAATTCCACGCAAGTCAAACCAACCCATGATAAGATGGCTCTGATGACTACAGATCTCTGCAAAGTAGTGTCTGCCTAATTTGTGTAAGGATCCCAGAAGGAGATACAAGTCAAGGTGTTTTTTTTCTGACATAAAGTACCTTTTATGCTATCATTTTCCAAACAAGAACTTTTGAAACCCTATTATGCGATTCAGAAAAAACACTTTTCCAAAGAAATTGGCCTCACAACAGGTTACAATAACAGTCATTTCAGACACGGATCCTGATTATCCACCAATTTCCCACAAGTTTCTTTCAAATCATTTCTCTCTGAATCTAATAACCCTGAAGCCTTTCAATTGACTGGGAGGAGGTGTCTGCTACTGGATCATTACAAAACAGTTTAGTCACTTTTCACTGAAACCTAAAAGCTGCAAAGGAAATTTAGCAAAATGGTAAAATCAGTTTTTGTCAAGGGTAGTAAATATGTCCAACCTGTCCCATTAAGTGTGTTGTTCCTCTTTGTGTAACGGTCTCGAATTAGGATTCCTATGGTCCTCACATTGTCCCTTAACATCTTGCCTTGTGCTTGCACCATGAAGAGATAGGTATTTGCTGAAAGAAATACAATACAAAATTACATTTGTATAAGAACCTTTCACTTCCACCCTCCCTTATCCCAACCCCCATTCCCCAACTGATCAAAAAAACCCTGTTGGGGTAAGGGAGGGTGGAGGTCAGGGAGGCTGACCAAAGAGGAGGCTCTTGAGACGTGCCTTGAAGGAGGCAAGGGAGGGAGCAAGGCGAAGGGAATGTGGGATGGAGATCCAAAGGGTGGGGGCAGAGAGACTGAAGGCCCGACCCCTGATGGTGGGGCGGGGGATGTGGAGCAGTCCGGAACCTGCTGAGCGGAGGGAGCAGACAGATAGATAAGGGGTTAGCAGGTCACAGAGATAGGAAGGGTGAAGTCCTTGGAGGGTCTTGAACACAAGGATGAGGATTTTGAACTCAAAAATACAAATTACAACTGCAAAACTGTTCACTATTATCCAGTACTTTTAATCAAACAAACAATTTTCTGCAAAGCAACTATATAATAGTACTTCTTACAAATACCCATTTCAGGTATAAAATAATTGCACACTGCAGTTTTATTTTCTGCAAATACCAAGTTCAATTTAAATACAATATAGAATTCTTCTGTGTACAAAGTGTTTCGAATCACTGTAATTTTCTTTAAGTACAGAATTAACCTAGCCACATTTGGATATTGCAGAGTATATACTAATTATTGCCTGGTATATAACGATTTGGATTTGCTTCTTTTCTAGATTTACATAGACTGAACAGCGTGGAAGCAGGCCATTCAGCCCAACCTATTCTTGCTGATATTTATACGGCATACAAGTCACCGTGAGACTTCACACACTGCTAGATAAGTAGTTTGAGTACACGAGTAATAAACCTAAGCTTTGTATTGGGGAAATAGTAGCCATGGGACGTCCTCCCGACGTGAAAGGTGCTATACAAATGTAATTTTGTTGTTGTAAAACATAGCGCAACTGACTGGTATGTATAGAAAAATGCAGGTTACTAGAAATAATGGAAGTTTACAGTATTTACTGTTATTTAACTAAAAACAGCCCAACTGCTTTGTAATTTTTTTTGATCAGTTGGACGTCTGTCACATGCGGAACCCATCACCATGCTTACGAGTGGCCAAACCAAACTGAGAATTCCACGCCTACCACTTACACATGGATATTCCAGAGATAGATATTTTGCAAATCTTTTTATGACAATTATAACACACAGTAAAACGCAGCCTGGTACCTAACTTCTCCTGTGCAAATAACTGTTTGAATACCAATTCCCTGTTTTTTCCATGTACCCATTTAATTTTATATAAAATAGAGGATAAACACATAAATAATAATCTTTGCATTTGATATAACACCCTATTACATCAAGACACCTCAAAGCGCTTCACAGGATTTTACTGTGAAGTGTAACGTCTGTTTTTAGGCGAACACGACAGCCGGTTTGCACACAGCAATGGCGCACAGCATGAAGTACCAATTGATATTATGTGGAGAGATATTATTGGCCTGGAGAAAGTTCATTCTCCTTTCGAATAGTATCATGGAATCTCCCCCAGCACTGCATGGGAGTGCCAGCCCAGTCTGCGAGTTCAAAACCCCAAAGTGGGGTTTGAACCCACAACCTTCTGAAACATCAAACAAAAACAATAACCTTCTATTAGTTAGGTAATGAAGTTATACTTGGAAATGTCAATATTTATTTGAAAAGGACAACATGTTTTGTACTTGCTACTATCCAGCAAAGAGGGTACAACATCCCTAGTCAAATATATTGAAGAACAGCTGCAGGCAGGCATGCCTTTTCCTCTTTCCTCTCGTATCTGGCGGTATGTGGTGTCCTGTAGCATATTGATTAGAGCACTCACAAGCGAGAGGACCAGGTTCAATTCCTGGTCAGAGTGAAACATTAGGCAAGTTTCCTTATTCCACATGCCTGTTTATCTGGTAATATCTAGTAATATGTGGAGTCCTGTAGTGCAGTAGTTAGAGCACTCGCCTGGCAAGCGAGAGAAGATGCCTGGCAGGGCGAAACCTTGGGCAAGTTTCCTTATTCCACACACCCAATAATAATCCCTCGAGAAAAATAAAACAATAATAAATTGGTCACTTCAATCCATGACTGTTTGTGGGACACTGTTGTGCGCAATTGGCTGCCGGTTTTGCCCACAAATTCACTTTATAGTATATTCTGTGAAGCACTTTGAGACGTCTCAAAGACGTGAAAAGGGCTAGATCAAGTGCAATGATTATTATTATTATTATTATTATTAACGAGCAGTAAATAGGAACCTGGTTGTTAGTCGATTGGCAGATCCCTTTCCAGGGGCAATTAATCCCTTAAAAAAAATGGTGACTCAATCTACGACTGTTTGTGGGACACTACTGTACACAATTGACTACCGCATTTCGCCCAATAACAACAACAAAATTACATTTATAGAGCGCTTTCATGTCAGAAGGAGTTCCAAAACGCTGAACAGTCAGGTGTCGGGGCCCGAGCATGGGGGAGGGGTGGTGTAGGGGTGATAGAAGACAGAGAGGTGGGAGGGTGACCAAAGGCACGGTCAAAGAGAAGGGCTTAAGACCGGCCTTAAAGGATGCACGGGAGGAAGCGAGGCGAAGCGACCGTGGGATGGAATTCCAGAGTGAGGGCAGAGAGGCTGAAAGCCCGACCACCGATGGTAGGGCGGGTCGGGCGGGAGACATGGAGCGGGCTGGAGCCTGATGAACGGAGGGAGCGGGCAGGTTGGTAGCGAGTCAGCAGATCAGAGAGGAAGGAGGGAGCAAGGCCATGGATGGCCTCTCGACTCTCTACCCCCTCCTCGCTCCCTCCCTTCCCTCCCCTCACCCTGACCATTTCCCCCCAATGCTCGGGTCCTGACCCAACTGTACAGCGCCTTGGGACGTCCTCCCGACATGAAATGCGCTCTATAAATGGAATCTTGTTGCTGTTGTTGTAAGGTGAGGACGAGGATCTTGAACTCGATCCTCTGGGGGAATCACAAAATAGTCAATTCGTTTTACAGTATCCTCTGTGAAGCGCTTTGAGACGTCTCAACGACATAATAATCACTATATCAAATTCAAGGTTTATTATTATATGATACAGAAGAAACTAAAAAGGTGTCAGAAAGGGGCCAGGCTACAAAGAGAATGGCACAACTAGAATAGGGAACTCTGGCTGGGTAAATCCATTACAGAATTTGCAATTTAACATGTCAGTCTTGTGTGAAGTGTGCCTCATTTTGAATCAAGTAGCTGCCAAATTAAAAGACCCACAACAAACAAAGCTGTAATACACTTTTACATTGCTGTCAAACTAACTAACAAATTTTGATTTGCAGTTAAAGAGGAAAAGTTAATACAATCCATAAGTGATACATTAATTTACAGTACAATTACATTTAATAATAATAATCCTTCCATTTGATATAGCGCTTTTCGCGTCTTCTAGACGTCCCAAAGTGCTTCACAGAATATACTGTAAAGTGAATTGACTGTATATTTGTGGGCGAACGCTGCAGCCAATTACGCACAGCAATGTCCCACAAACAGTCGTAGATTGAAAATGACCAATTTAATTATTGTTTTTGGTTTTGGAGGGATTATTATTAGGCGTGTGGAGTAAGGAAACTTGCCCAGGGTTTCGCCCTGACCTGCCTGGAATTGAACTCAGGTCTCTCACTTGCAAAACGAGTGCTCTAACCACTGAGCCACAGGACTCCACAAGTCTAACTAATAAAAGGGGAGTTTGGGGAATTAGGAGGAATGGAGTCTCATGTGAAGTATGAGATGATTTATACGGACCAAACTGGCCTGTTTTGGCCCCATAGGTTTGCTTGTGCAGTCACATCAATGAAATCTCTTTCGTAGCTCATGAACTTGATGTTACGTTAAGAACAGACTCTGGCTAACAGGTTGGGGGTTCTGACCCCACTTGAGGATTTGAGATCATAATCTAGGCCAGGGTGGTCCAACCTTTTTGCTGCTGAGGGTCGGGTGCCGAATTTGAGAAACGTCCTCGGACCATGTAAGCAATATTACTAATAATAATCCTTGCATTTCATATAGCACTTTTCACGTCTTCTAGACGTCTCAAAGCGCTTCACAGAATATACTGTTAAGTGAATTGACTGCATATTTGTAGGCGAAATGCGGCAGCCAATTGCGCACAGCAGTGTCCCACAAACAGTCGTGGATTGAAGTGACCAATTTATTATTGGTTTTTTTTCTTGAGGGATTATTATTAGGCGTATTTTATCCTTTTATATTATATTTTATCTTGAATATCCAGTCCCGTTGCCAGGCAGAGCTTGACCGTCTCCTGGTTGGCTCGGGACCTTCATGTCACCTGTATTTGCTCGTCAAACAATGAAGTTGGAAAAGGTTCGCAGGCTGGATGAAATCAGCCCGCGAGAATGGAGAGAATGGGAGAACCCGGGAGAATGCTGCTTTGTGAGATTTAGCATGTTTCAGATGAGATATCAAACTACCATCCCATCTGCCTCTCTTCAAGTGAACCTTAAAAATTCCACGCAACTATTCAAAAGGAGTTTGTTCCTAACTTGATTGTTGCGAACAATCCCCGAGATTAATTAGTCATCCATCTCATGACTGTTTGTGGCACCGGGCGGTCTCAAATGGTTGGCGAGACTTACAGTAAGTATTTGTGAAATATTTTGAAACATTCAATGTGGAAAGGTTGCATAGAAATGCAACTTCTTTCTTTTACTGAGCAGGTAGTATATACTATTCATAGAACAGCAACAAGATTACACTTGTATAGCGCCTTGCTGCAATAGCAGTTACAGTTTGCTAACAGCAGAGGATTCAAGCCAACACAATTTCCCTTTTTTGAAATGAAGCCCAGTTTCAGAGAGAAGCAGAGAATTCAGTTGCATTTTGGAGGAATCTGGAAATCAGATTTGAAGGGTGTGCGTGTATGCGTGTGTGTGTGGGGGGGGGGGGGGGGGGGGTGGGGGGTGATGAGAATGGACAAAATGTACATTGTCA